AGCCAATGTATGGACTGTCCGCCAGGACAAAAGTTATTGGCCGTTAGTCGAGGTTCGACTGTAGTTTGGAGATTTGAAAATGTTTAGGTTTCGTTCCAGTGGCCTTTACTTCTGGAATAAGAATACATTCTGGATAATTCCAAAAAAAAAAATTGTTTTCAGAAAAATGATCTGCATTTTGCTTCTTATAAACAAGCCTGATGTTTCAGTAATATCGGTTCGATAACAAGTCAACAATTAAGGTTGTTAAAGCGGAAATATATTGATATTCCATGAGAAGGCGAGATTCGACGGAGAAAAATTGTCGTATACCTCATTAACTAGCTCTGTTGGTGAACTCTTATTAACAGCTATACCTCAGCAACTGACGAAAGATCCAATATTTTGGTTCCAGAACCGGTCTTGTAGTAATAGTTAAGCAGAGTGTTACATAACCACACTTATAATCTGGTACCAAGTAGATCAATGTTACTGGCTACACCGCGGAAAGCTTCGTTCCGTACTTAAAACTATGCGGTCTTTTGACTCAAACAAGCGGCAATTATTCTCAACCAGCTCCCTATTGCAGCTTAATAATCAAAGGAAACCTTTCCATAGGACCTTTTTAGTCCTAGTTCTATATCCTTCAATGAGAACGCAATCGTAAGAAATTTCTATCCTAAGAAATTTCACCCTTCGAAGCTTTTCAAAAATTCGTCGCCAACTCTGAGGAAATTTGCATATGATCACCTTTGATTATGGAACTGCGCTCGACATGTAGTCGAGCATATCATTCTGATTACAGCGTAATTGAGTCAATAAACTGTTCAACTGTTCAACCGTTTATTACTTATTTCAAATTTTACAAGCAATATCCACTGCCTGTATTTAGCAATTAGCTAGTCGAGGCGAGCGGAGGTTACACGTACTTTATATATTTATTAGAATATATGTTATATATAGCAAACAAGTAAGACTAGACAAAAAGAGCAAACAAAAAACTAAACGTTACTGATCATCTTCACTCCTTCTAAGCGGCGAAAATTGATCTAAATCTTGCGAACGAAGAAGCTCAGGACTCGTAACGTTTATTATAACCCTGCATCGTGATTTCTATAGTGATATTTACGGCGAACGGGTACCGTCAGATTCAAGTTGATATTATCTAAAAATAGAAAATGTGCTGCAAAAACAATGGTTATAGACAAAACTAACGTGAGACTACTAATTATGTGGTTGCAGTAATTCACAGTAAAGGACATTAAATTAAGGGAAAACGTGGTCAAGTGGTACAAATTCACTTTTGCCGTTTACCGTAAACGTGACTCTACATCTCTCTATTGAGGGCCTAATCTTATCAGGAACACCCGTGATAAATAAGCGATATAGGTCTTGTTGAGAACGGGTGAGTTTTCTCGTAGTTTGTACAAGATCAGAAGCAATTTACTAAAGCAAAAACATACAAAAATAAGTGTAAAAAGCCGACGTTTTGGCGTCATCGTGAAGGCAATCTCAAGAGTGAGTAACAATAGTGTTTGTTTAAAGAATCAAATATGAGTGCTTTGGTTAGTGTGCTGTCTTAATTACAGTCAAACCTCTCCAAAACATCTACCTTGGGGACAGAACAAAGTGGCCGTTGTTCAGAGGTGGCCGTTATGGGAAGGTAACGGGGGAGTAATATGACCATTTTTTTTTTTAGGAGGTACATTATTGTAATCTATTGCAGTCATAAATAATATTATATGGATAAAATATTCACAAAAAAACTTGAATAATGTTTTTTTTTTTCACGTGACAAAACGAGTATGGTTTGCAATTATCGCTACAAGTATCGAAGACAGTTTATGCTTACTACAGCAGGGAATAGGCCTTTCCAGATTCTGCTCCAAAGAAGCTAAAAAGTTGCTAAGAAATATGCCAAAATGTTGCTCAAAAGTTGCTCAAAATTGAAAAAGTTACTCGAATATTTTTAAGACAGCATGTCTAATTTTCATAACAATTGCTTTGTTACATTAAGGTAGAACTAAGTAACTAGTTACCACAAATTAGGCAACCTTTACTTGAATATAAGTGGCTAGTTACAAAAGGTTAGACAGTAAGTGTAACAATCTGGTTTACAAATCTAGCTAACTGTTGTTTTCGTGCGATAATGGGGTTTTCGATTTCTTCGTCTTCGGAAGACAACGTGTCGTCCGCCATTTTGTTTACACACAGTCCACAGGCTACCCCTACCTCGTTCCCAGGGCTTTTCCCTTCTCGTGGGGGGCGCCCCCAAGAGAGGGGAAAAGCCCTGGGAACGAGGTTGAGGCTACCCAAACCCAATTCTTGTAATTAATTACCAAGTCCACATGATACCCATTCAAAAGGCAAAAATATGAGTTTTACTAGAAAGATGTTTAGAATCTTAACCAAGAGAATTTCAACTTGTTTATTTACAAAAAAAAAAGGGGGGGGGGATATTCAGTATTTTGGTTCAAAATAGCCCAAAAGTTACCATAAAAGTGCTAGTTTTCCGAAAAGTTGCTAGAAGTTGCTCTCTGACAAAAAAGTTGCTCAAAATCCTAAAATTGTTAAAAAGTTGCCGAGCAGAATCTGGAAAGGCCTAGCCGAGAACATGGAACATAATGAAAGTACGATTACCGCGATGAATCATCAACGTTCCATACGGATCAAATTTCATGAACATTCTTGACTTTTTCATCAGTCTTAGAAATTCCTAAAAAGATATACCCGTAACACTAACTGGATCGTGGATCCGTTCACGCAAGTTAAACCGGCTGTGCACATGGCAAAAAATCAATTTCAAATGTACATTTTGTGGTTTTTCTTTCACACCGATGTCAAAATGTAGAAAACGTCCATGAAACCTTTATACATATAAAAATTCCCTTTTAAAGAAGTACTTTTCGTTGACCATAGAATACAGAATGTACCTAAAGTATCTTCCGAAACCCCGCTGCCTCGGTTGGTTCAAAACAACCCAAGCGCTCTGATCCGCCGTGAAGAAACAAGGTTGAATTCCTGGAAAGACAATTTCATAGGGAAAAGCTCTCGTTTGTCTACAAAAAGAAAACTGAGCATTCTTTTGAACTTTCTCTTTCCATTTGTGCATTTTATCGGCGTATTTTCAATCTTGAAATACAAAACTTCAGTCTTGAAAACCACCACGTGATGAATGCGCGCCGGACATTTTGTTGATGGATGATATTAGAGACCTTTAGATTCGAAGACGAGGACGACTACTTTCGCGTGTTCTCAAAGTATAGACTTCCTACAAAGCTTTATTTTACCATATTTCACTAGAAAAGTTAGTACTCTTATCTCTTTAATTAAGGAGGTTATGCGCTTTCCCGATCGCAAAATGATAAAACTTCCAACATTTAATATCTTGTTTTCGCGCCTAAAACTCGTAGTAGAATGAAAAAGGGTATACCACATTTTCCCGCCGAAATGACGCTGGTTATCGCTCGAGCACTACGTGGCATTGAGAAAATCTCGTACTCGTAGTCGTAATCGTAATCGTCTTAGAATCTAAAGCTCTTCATTTAATAAGGTGTCAAATCCGCTTCTTCCCCAACCCTATGTGGCTGATCATTTAACTTTTGTGTGGGAAGGGGTATGGATGATTTGGTCTGGGTAAGAATTTTTTTCCAAACCTCTGGACTTAGAAATTTTTTCCCTTGACATATAACAGTGTGAGATTTTTTTCCAGCATTATATACGTCATGAGCGATATCTATTTTTTCAGTGCAGGATATTATTTTTTACAGTTATATCCTTGCAAGCTTTTCCTCCTCGAAATCAGTCTGCATGGTCGGCCCCTAAAATCCACAAAACATTTGCACAGTTGAGAGATTCTGATTTCCCAATCATTTCTAAAGCCTTTTGAAACAAAAGGGACAAAACTCTCTAGGGAAGGAATTCGTTTCTACTTACTTCTACCCGGGGAGTCCGTACGGAGGGACATACGGTGACGTCATACCCAAATCTTCTCAGATGGGTAGTTTCCAAATTGTCTTAGGTATGGAACTCCAAGCGCGCGGAGGCTCCGCTAAAAAAATACAGCAGAATTTAAACCCTTTCTTCTCTGCCACATCCCACAGCTATCAGCATTGCTCACCTTTTTTACTCCAAAAAGGCTTAGCACACTTTATTTGGGCTGCACAGCGTGTTGACCGTTCATTCTAGGAACTGCTAACTGCATTGCCCTTTGCGCCGGGTTCAATAATCGCTCTTGCAAGCTAGTCAAAAAAGGTAAAAATGGTTCTGAATCATTTGTTTATAGCGCTGATCATGGGTTATGCTTTCAACCGGGTTACTGTAGTGAGCAACAGACTTAAACAGAAGGAAACAACAGCAGCAGCAACAACAATAACGATACAAGATGGTTCCTTCTGCATCCAAGTGTATCACCTGGAATGTTATTTTTGCAGCCGAGATTGTTGCCATAGTAACAGTGAACCTCCTTTCAATCATCCTTTTTATAAAGACCAGAAGCCTTCGCACTCCCAGTATGTACTTGGTTATAAGCTTAACCGTGGCGGACATGTTGGTTGGAGGACTTTCTGGAGCTTTTAAACAAGTGCTCATCCTACAGGAATGTCACTTCGTACAATTTCCTTTTCAAAAGGGAAGTTGTAATAACACTTCTTTTTTTCTTCCCTCTAGTCTCCCTGACAAACATTGCTATGATTTCTTTAGAGCGAGTGCACGCCACGTTTCGTCCAATAGAGCACCGGACGATCAGGAAATGGGTCTACGTGGTAGCAATTGCTGTTGTTTGGGTTCTCCCTGTTATCACATCAGTCACCTCGATGGTAGTTCTCCTTATGACAGGATATTACCTTTTCTTTTATGGATTTCATTGCTGTTTGTGTTTATTTGTTATCTGTGTTTCTTACATCGCAATTTTAATTAAGTTTCGTTGTGGAGCACATCCTCTGCGCCATTTTGCAACTTCTTCAAAACAAAGAAAACTGACTGTAACATTGTTTATAACGACTTTAGTATCTTTACTGCTGTGGTTACCATATCATATACTTGTTATCGTTAACCTGAAAACTAGTGGTCTTCCTAGGTCATTTCCTCGACTAGTAGCTGTACGTTTGGGTTATTCATTGTTTGTTTTGTTTTACGCAAACTCCCTTGTAAATCCTGTTCTATACACAATCAGGATTCCGGACTTTAAAAGAGCCTTTTTCTCATTGTTTAGACGTCAATAAAAAGACAACAGCACCATTTGTAGGAGGAAAAATAAGATTGGTCTTGCGTAATAGGACTCGACTTAGCTAAGAATAGACCGTGACACTTATTCTTGGATAAGACACGTTTTAGCTGGAACATAGAAAACCTCGGATAACTTAACGACTGTCGTGCCGAAATATCTTTAGCGAAATTCGATTTTAAGTGTTTAACTTGTCTACAACTAATGAAAGAGAGGAAATTGAAATTATTTTTTATGGTAGGAATAAAGGTTACACTATGATCACTCATACCAACGTAAGACATCCCACAGCAAAGGATGTCGTCTCGATGAGTAGTGAAAAAAAGATTTATTATTTGTTAAGGGTACTTGTTTAAGGTGTAAATAGAAAAGCCATACGGTAAATATCGGTACATTCAAGAGAACCCTATTTAATTGTTATTGTTGGTAAGCAAATCCAATTTCTTATCGTCCAATGTTTAACGTGCTGGGAATCCAGTCTTTTTAAAAAGGGATAAATATTCAAAAAACAGCTCAATATAGGTTAATTTGGTGGTCTGTACCAGTAGGTTACAGCAAAAGTCTTTGTTGTTCGCATTAACTTTTTATTAAGAGTACAAAGAGCTAATTCTCTAAACCTCAGGAACTATGTAATTTACGTTTGAACAAATATATCAGGTCTGCATCGCCCACCAAATCTAACCTACCTCTAGCCCTTACCCTAGCCTGGTCTGCATGTTCCACTGATAAACTTTTCGCGCTTGGCTGTTGACATCCGAAATCTTTACGAAATATGTCAAGAGCGTAGCGTCCAACGTACGCACAATTTTTTTTTTTACGCCCATGCGTACAGCTGAAAACTTAAAAAAATAAATGAATAAAATAATAAACTCCTGATAGCATTTTTGTCATTGAATCGGGGTGACTGGTAAATTCTTCGCATTATATTGGTGTCTTTGAGTTATTATTTCCTTTATTCTTTTTATTATTCAATAAACGGAAGACAAGAAGCGTTGTAGTGGGGTAACAAACGAGAGATTGAGCTCTCTTGAAATTCTGCACACATACAGGCACAATGACGATGATATTGGTTGCGTTATATCAGAGTTTTCCCATCTGAAGGAGGCCTACTTTGGGACCTTTTAAGGTCGTAATAATAATTACGTAATTAATGGTAACAGGACTGAGTAACTGACTCTGTAATCATACGAGTGATTAACAAAATCGGACGACCGCGTAGCGGGAGTCCGTTTTGTTTAATCACGAGTATGATTACACACCGAATTGGGCGACACGAAGTTCTGTTACCAATTAATTAATTAACAAAATTGTTGATATAATAAGCTATTTTTTCAATCGAAACACGAGAAATTCCAATTTTTTTTTTGCTATCGGTAAAAAAATAAAGCCATTTAAGTGCACGCGTGATGACGCGTACTGTCCTATTAAACTGTCCGATTAAGACTGAAATCAGTGCAGTTGATAGCCAGTCAGATTTGACAATTTTGTTATAGTTATGACTAAGGTTGTAATTACAACTGCGCGCCGTAAGTCGCCTTAGGTCGCCTTTAGTCTTTTAAGTCACTTCAAATCATCATAATCTTAAGGAGGTTCAAATTGTCTCGTTGTTATTACTTTTCTAGTTTTCTATTTCCAGAATGCTTGATTCCTCACAAAGTGTGTAATAACCCATGTTCAATAATATTACCATTAGAAAAAAGAATTCATGAAAGTCATAACCTTGGTTAAGCCTTTATGACGTACACAAATCTTAGTGCGATCAAAGAAGCTTTTTATTAGATATAGCTAGTTTTAGCCGGCTTAGAGGTGCTGGTCGAGCTGAAGTATCAGTATTTATTCGCTTAAGTTTATTTAAAAATTAATTTGCACCTCTAAGCTCAACCAATGAATAAACTTTTTAATGTTTAAAGCTGGTGAAGTTTTGAGAAACATCACAAGTTGGTTCAGCTCTATGTGAGTTTTCATACTAACTATAAGTTTACCCTTTATAACAGGTTTGAATAAAGCTGAAGAATCAAGGAATGAAGATCTAGACATCAAAGAGAAAGATAAAATTAAAGTTATCTAAAGAGTCAGATTGTTCTTCTCCCTGTAATGAAGCTTTGAGAAAACTTCAAGTCATTTATATTTTTTACCAGCAGGCGTCGAGTGCATTACTTACCAATTTACTGCTTTCAACATTAATTTTGACTGTTGCCAGATACAAATTTATAATAGCTGTTGTGAGCTGAGCTTAGAATGATGTCAAAAAGGGAAAAAATTTTGGAAGAAAGAAGAGAATTCGAAACATCGGTGAT